TTCAGCCAGCAGCTGTGTTTACTGTATTATCAGACCTGGACATATGTAAGCTTACTGCTATAAATTAAAAAAAATTAAGTCTTTTTGAATTCAAGCATGGCAGACCTGCACTTCTATAGAAAACCTACATTTTCTGAAGACGTCAACAAAAACTAGTGTGAGCAATAACAAAGTATTGTGTAAATTGATAAAGAAAACTAAGGTGGTCTCCCAGGGATTGCCACGTTTAAGCAGCAAGCTGCATTCGAAGAATCAGTGAACAAACCATTCCAGGCAAATAAGCTCAGTAAAGGCTTTCTGATCTGCAGAACACCAAGAAAGCAAACAGTGAATTTAAAGAGGAAAAACCTCAAAGTAATACATTCCAACATGCCAGCAGAGAAAAGAAATTGCCATCTATTATCCAGTTATGACTACACTTATTCCATCAGTAATCAGCGCATAAATAAAGCACGCTCCCTGGGTATTAAAGCTGGCCCTACACACCACTGCAGCGAAGTTAAGCTCTCTTAAGACTGAATTCGAGCTTGTTTTCTGGAAGATTTGAAAATCAGCGCGACAAGAGAGCACTGATGCTCCCCTGAAATTGGGGCTGTTGGTCCAGGGGTACACATGAATCCACAGCAAACACGATTTAGACCATCAGTTGCCGCACCCTTCACTACTGATTAACAAGAATAAATAGGGAAAACGACAGAGCTCTCAGCTGCTTCAGCTCCTGTTACTCATCCACCTTCTACCATGCATGTCTTTCTGATGGCTTGGGTTAAAAAGAGTGAGCAGCCTTTAGACTGCAGTAAAAAAAGAAAAACTAAAGCAGCAGGTTTTAGACTATTTTTCCTTCAATCTCTTTTCTACAGCCACTACAAATTACAAAGATAGGCGTGTCTCCTGTGCATGCTTTCTAGGAACACAATGGAGCCAGCATCACAGACCAGTTAATCTTCTCTCAAACAGATCATCTATTCAACTGCACCAAGAATCACCTGATAACTGACCATCTTCCTTTGGCAAAGGCATACGCTCTCAACAGAAGAGACGATGCAAAGTATCACAGAGTAATTCAGGTTGTAAGGGATGCCCCCCAGCTCAAAGCAGGGGCAGCTAGGAGACCAGACCAGGCTGCCCATCCCTTTACCCACTCTGATCGCCAAAAGCTCTGATGCTGGAGGCTACACAACCTCTGGGGGCGACCTGTTCCAATGCTTGGCTGTCCTCATGCAGAGGGCAGCTCTCCCACCTCCAACCAGAATCCCTTCTGGTCCAGTTTATGCCCCTTGGCTCCTCTGCTCCCAGCAAGTTCCCCTGCAAAAGCCCAGCTCCATCTTCCCAACAATGGTCTGACAGATGTCAGAGGCTAGGATTAAGCGTCGCTCAAGCTTTCTCTTCTCTAGGCTAAACAAGCCCAGGCCATGCAGAACACACGTTAATGTGGGGATGATGAAATACTAGAACTTACTCGGGGACATCATACATCATCAGTTGTTTGTCTTAAACACACTGTACCTCTTCCTCAGAAATTCCGATTCAGTGGTCAATCCTCCTCTGTCTGAAAACCTATGAGATTTCCAATTGAGGAGCAAACTCACACATTCCAAGATGGAAAGAAAGAAGCATTGCCCTTCGGTATCTTTGTTATCATCTCCACAGTAGCCAACTGATCCATGGAGGTTAACAAGCTGAAAATCACCGCTCCAAGCCAATCAGAAATTATTGATTCCAACCCAGATCTTCACCTAGTAATTGCTACGGGCTGTGCAAGGAATTACATTATTCTAAATATGCTTTCAGATCTAAAATTAAGTCTAGATATGTGAACAGTGGAAGGATGAAAAGGGAGAAAGGGGAGGAGAGACAATGCGCAGCCTGTTTCCTTCTGAAAAATATGGAAAACAAACTGAAAAAAAAAAATCTATCTTTTTATTCCTCTACTCCAATTTCATTAAAACAAATTAATGCAAGAATTACACCAACCTGAAGTTTGCTTACAGGTGTCAGCAAGTACAAGGCCACTAGTAAATAACACACATAGGGAGGACTCTGGAAAAGCTTTCACTGTGCTGACAGCTTGAGCTCATCCCATCTGCAACCTGACAGCCCAACAGAGTCACAAAGAGTCAGCAGATATGATTTTCATATATATAGACATATATTATATTACACATCATTGGATAGGAAGATATAATAGTTTGCTGTTAAGCAATAACCACAGTGCTACAGGTCTAGCGTTTTTTCCCACAGTACTCTTGCTGCAATCCAAAAAACAAATTCAAGTTTACACGGCCAAAGTCACGTCTCTTTTCCCCAGGACGAACCCAAGACCACTCAGCTGTACAGGAACAGAGGAGGCAACAGGGGATGGGAGGGGAGCGGAACCGCTCAACCGCATTTTTCTTTACCTTATAGGCATGGTAACATAACATTTAATCTTCAAGAAACAGCAGAATATAGGATACACCTCTCTATCCATCTCCGACTATCGTGACAGCTATTTCAGGTTAAGAGAAGAATCAGGAACTGATTTTTAAGTTACAGAAGCTGAGATGCCATACTACAGCTATGACCCTTTTTTCTCTACCGAATCGTTGCGTTAAAAATGAGCCAGGTTTGTTCAGGAACCTAGCAGCAAAACAATATTCAGCATTCATTTTTATTCTAAAAACAGCTTCTATCAAAACCTGCCATTTAATCCTTGCAAGTGCTCTTGTGGTTCACACTTGAAGTTTGGCACATTTGAAAACACACACTGCTGTGTGTTTGTTAGAAGCAGCCAGTCACGGAAATAACAGCCCCGAATTAGAAAACGCAAAGGTAGTCGCCCCTAAAAACACAACCCTAGGTACCTTGGTGCAGCAGTAGATGCAAGAGGACCTGGATAATGTTGCTATTTTGCATTGTATTGCCCCATAATTTTAGGTTTAGCCACAGCATTCCTCTATTATTGACTGGAGCAGTCAAAGCTGGACAAGCTGACCATGAGCCAGCAGGGTGCCCTTGTTGCCAAGAAAGCCAACAGCATCCTGGGGCGCATTCAGAGGAGCGTGGCCAGCAGGGCGAGGGAGGTTCTCCTCCCCCTCTGCTCTGCCCCACTGAGACCCCATCTGGAGCACTGAGTCCAGTTCTGGGCTCCCCAGTTCAGAAAGGGTGAGGAACTACTGGGGAGAGTCCAGAAGAGGGCTACAAAGATGATGAGGGGACTGGAGCATCTCCCCTACAAGGAAGGGCTGAGGGAGCTGGGCTTGTTCAGCCTGGAGAAGAGAAGGCTGAGAGGGGATCTCATCAACACATACAAATACCTTAAGGGTGGGTGTCACAAGGATGGAGGCAGACTCTTCTCAGTGGTGCCCAGCGCCAGGACAAGGGGCAATGGGCACAAACGGAAGCAGAAGAGGTTCCAGTTGAATGGGAGGAAGAACTTCTTGACTTCGAGGGTGACCGAGCCCTGGCACAGGCTGCCCAGGGAGGCTGTGGAGTCTCCTTCTCTGGAGCTATTCAAAGCTGGGTGATCTTTGGAGGGCCCTGCCAACCCTTGCCATTCTAGGATTCTGTGTGATTCTGTGAAAGTATGGAAAATTTTCTCCAATGTGCTTTACGATCCACAAGTTTCTCATGTGTGTAAGCAAGCCTTGTTAGACCTCACCTCCAAACAATTGGTCTCCAGCCTTTGGGTAAGCTCCAAATTTCCAAAATATGCCTAAAAATTCACCAAAACTTTTCATACGGTATCTACTTAACCATCTTACACTCCCCAAACCACATTTCCCATCCTGCTTCGCTTCCCTTTTTCCCTTCCCCTGTGACACACCACAGCCTTGCTTCCAGCAGCATGGTACATGAACACGGCAATTGGTCATGCACAAATATGAGCATCAAAACAGCCTGTGATGCCCCAATATTTAGGAGGTTTAAAAGAACTGAAAGAGATCTGGCTTACAAATGTTACCGGCTATTGGTATATATTGCAATCTTTACACTAAACTTGCTCAACACCACCACTACCAGGTGATCCTATTACTAATGGCAGACAAAAGAAACCCCAACAGAGAAACTGCAGAAAGTTGTGACCTTTTGCTTTTTTCTCAAGAACTGAAAGGACACAGACTTTAGAACAAATGTATTTCAAATCATCTACCAAACAACTTGCAATATTTTAGGGAGGGCTCTGGAGCACAAGGCTGACGAGGAGCAGCTGGGGGAGCTGGGGGTGTTGAGCCTGGAGAAGAGGAGGCTGAGGGGAGACCTTATCGATGCCTACAGCTGCCTGAGAGGAGGGGGGAGCTGGCGTCGGGCTCTACTCCCAGGAAATGGGCGATAGGACAAGGGGAAACAGCCTCAGTTGTGCCAGGGCAGGTTTAGGTTGGACATGGGGAAAAATTCCTTCCCCGCAAGGGCTGTCAGGCCCTGGAAGGGGCTGCCCAGGGAAGGAGTCGAGTCCCCATCCCTAGGGGCAGATGAAAAGCCAGGCAGATGAGGTGCTTAGGGCCAGGGTTTAGTGGTGGGATGGCAGGGTTAGGGTAAGCTTGGGGAGCTTAAAGGGCTTCTCCAACCTAAACAATTCTGTGGTTCTATAAGGAACATGAAATAATAATTAGGACCCCAGATGGAAAATAGTGAAATAGTCCAAAAGTAAACCAAAATGCCATTGTACTTCAAATTAATGATTATTTTCAGCAATAATATTATTATATACCTTAATTTCTCTACTTCTATGGAGAGGTAGGTAAAATGCCTTTTTTGTGGCTGCTAAAAGTCACCACACACAAACATACAATGGCATTGTGTGAACACAACTCCCAGAAAAAAAAAGAAACCAAAAAAACCTACGAACTTGGAAAGGTGGCCAATTCAGCCATTGGATTTAACTTTCAAGCAACAGTTCTGCAACCGATTCCTGTTCCTGCTCTGCTCCTGTTCAACTGTGGTACAATGTCTGTGCCACAAATCCAACTCTAAAACACATGTTTACACTGGAAGCAATGGACAAATAGTTGAAGCGTTACCTGAAGCCTGTCCCAAACAGGGAGTTAAATTTGAATCGCAAGAAGAGCATCTCTGGGATGTAATAACTTCAGGAAGCGCTCTCAGATTAACAAAATGCAATGTAACACTCCTTGCTACTGTAAATGTTGGCAGGTTTTGATTGTTTTTAAAGCTGATGAGCGACAAAGGGCTATAGAGGTGGAAGAAGAAAATCCCCTCTTGTAGAATCACACCGGAAACCGGCAACTCAAAGGAAAAAACTCGACTGCCACGGTGGATCTCTGAGCACGCACACATTTACTGGCTTTACTCCAAGCGTGAACCTGTTGTTTTCTAGGTGACAAAGCGCTTCGACCGCATTCAGGTTAACTCCAGTCCTCGCGCAACCTTCGTGCAGGGCAGCAACAAAGAACATCAAAACCTCTGGAAGCAGAAAGCATACTTTCACGCTACACAAACCGTCCCCTCGCCGCTCCGAGAGCTCAATCCCCTCCACCCTTCCTCCCCGCGGGACCAAGCCACCGCAAAGCAAAGGAGAAGCACGGCGGGGAACCGGGCTCGGTGCCAGAGAGAAGCCCCGGTGTCTCAGAGCATGCCGGCGGCAGAGCCCGGA